ATAATTTTTTTAAATCTTTTTATTAACCTTATATGTATACATATAATTTAAATTCAAAATTTTTTATTTTATTTTGAAAAAAATTATCACTAAACCACCTACATAATTTGTTAAGTTACATGTAAATTAATTTAAGGTTAAAACCTCATTTTTTGTCCCTCAACTATTGTACGGACTGCTGATTTGGTCTTTAAACTAAAAAATATCCCTGATTTGGTCCTTAAACTAAAAAAAATCATTGATTTGGTTTCTACTGTTTACCATTTTTACCCCAATTTAGTCTTTCCGTTAAAAATCTCATTACCTATGTTGTTAATTCACTGTTATTAGATGATATGGCAAAATATTATACATGTGGTAAAAATAATAATAATATAAAAATAATAGTAATATGAAAAATAAAACTTAAAAAAATTCTTTCTTTTTTTCTTTTTTCTTCTCTTTCCCCTTCTTTTTCCCTTTCTCTTTACCCTTCCCCCTTTAGAATCCATCGAACCCACACTTTGGTTCGTTAGAACCCAGTCGCTGGGTTCAAACGAACCCAGGCTTGGGTTCCTTGGAATCTAGTTGGGTCTTCGAACCCAAGCGCTGGGTTCGAAGGAACACATCGCCTGGGTTCGACAAACCCAGGCTCTGGGTTCCAAGAAAAAACTTAGCTAAGTTCCTTGGAACTCGGCGCTAGGTTTGTCAAACCCAGGCTTGGTTTCCTTCAAACCCACCACTTGGGTTCGATGAACCCACGCGTTGCATTCAACGAACTCGAAGGAGCCCATCGCCTGGGTTCGACGATCCCAAGCTCTGGGTTCCTTCAAACCCGGTGCTGAGTTCGATTAAACCCAGGCACTGGGTTCTTCAACAAAAAAATAAATAAATAATTTTTGTGTTTTTGTTAGTGTTGTTTAATGATGATGATGAAGAATTGATTGATGAAGAAGGAAAGGAAAAGGAAGGAGAAAGGGAACGAGGAATGCCTAGCTGGGTTCGAAGGAACCCATCGCTTGGGTTCGAAGGAACCCATCGCTTGGGTTCATCAAACCCAGGCTCTGGGTTCCTTGGAACTCGATGCTGGGTTCGACGAACCCATGCATTGGGTTCAACGAACCCGAAGGAACCCATCGCCTGGGTTCAACAATCCCA